GATGTTGCGTGCAGATACAGGAGTTGCATAAAGGTCGCATTGTTCCTTTCAAAGCAAGCTCTTTGATAAGCATAGTGCGAAACTGATTATTCCAAGTTTACCATTGATATGCAGCAGACGAAGACCGTGTATGCTCCCAAGTACGAATGCAGTGGATCTAATTTAATAAGGCTCGCTTTGTTCTTGGTATCCCTTCAGGTCATAAGAATGAGCTAGTAGTTAAATGGATTAGCTATTGATATTTCAGAGTTTTCATTATCTTTTTTCCGAATGGATAATCTGAAAAGTTAGGATCAAAAATCATAGCAGAAATTATAGCTTATTTTACGAATGTAGTCGTCTTCAGATTAGCCTTTTGTGCAAGTAAAATTTCGTTGAATCATAGCGTTTTCTCAAGCCACTATTTTGAACTATACAGGGTGATTCACAAGTAGTCACCATAAATCATCATACGCATGACCTCATTTTAAGGGAGGTCTTCTATGTAACATATTTTCCTAAAGAGGGCTTCATCAGAAAGATACGGGGTGTTGAAGTTTAAAATTAAAAACAATTTTTTTAATATCTTCAAAACCGTCAGCTGGCATGAACTAAAATTTGGTATGCGGATTTGCCTAAGTATTATCCACGTTCAAAAATATTTACTTAAAATTAACGTGCACGAGTGACGACAGGGGACTAGTGGCATTATTTTTCCAAATAGCTGCTTCAAGAAACACCACTTCATCCACAACAAATTACTGTTTGGTATGGTTTTCATGCCGGTGGTGTCATTACAGGTCGATACAGTCAACGGAGATCTCTACAGATACATGCTGCAACGTTGCTCAATTGGATGGGCTAGACATTAATGATATGTGGTTTCAACAAGACGGTGCCACAAGGCCACACAGCGGGTGAAACAATCGAAATATTGAAAACAAAAATCGGTGAACGTGTGGTATCGAGAAATGTTCCTGTCAAATGGCCGCCCATATCGTGTAATCTAATACCTCTAGACTTTTTTGTGGGGCTAGATTAACTTACCAAATAAGCCAGCGTCGTTAAAGGAGCTCAGAGCCAATATTGAACGAGAGATAGCGGCCGCCTCTGACGAAATGCGTGGCCAAGTCATCGAAAGTTGAGTTCAACGAATCGATCGCTGCAAACGTGCTCGTGGTGGACATTTGAACGAGGTCGAATTCCATACACAAATGTTTTGAGTATACTTCAATCCAATAATAAAATTTTTGACATATCTCAAATGGTTTGCGTTTTATTTAAAAAGTTGTTAAGTCCTTAATGTAAAACCCTTTATTTGCGTCAAGCTGAACCGACAGGCAACCAGACTTACACAACCCTCCTATTTCCACGCCACCCATCGATGCGCTTACAAATTGATCAGGGCTGACCGGTATGGTGAATTTTCACCAAATCTAGAGATTTTGTACTCGTTTGTATCCATTACATATTTGCAAAAAGTTTGAATTTCAGTAAATTTATCAAAGAGGTTCGAAGATCATAAATATTAGTGCTCAAACTAGATTCGCTTGCTACCCCAATCATGAGACTGAAAATGGTATGTCGCCATTTTGTGACGTCCGCCACATTGCATTAAAAATGGCTGCATCTAAGTAGCCAAACTGCTGTGCCAAATTTCAATTCAATTGGACACCGGAAAGTAGGTTAAATCGCAAGATAAATAATAAATAGAAGTTTGTAAATAAAGATCGAATTGTATTCCTAATCCTGTTTCTGTAAATATCTGAAATAATTTTAACTTCCCCCAAACTCTCTTCAAGTATACTTCAGCTGTAATTAATGAGCAATATTCTTGCTACGACTTCTTTTGGGTGTCATTTATTTTCTGCCTGCTTTTGCCTTTTTGGATATTAATCATGTTCTTCAATGTCGGACTGCGCCGAAATTTATTAAAATCTGTTTTCTTATCTCTGCATATCTAATCTTATTTCGTTGGGGTAAAGTCATATCTGAAGCTGAAGCAGATGGCCTTTTTGTTGAGTAAGGGGTGATGGGGTGACTTCATAAATATTAAAATGATACCCAATATTGGACCTATCAAAAGTTATCGGAACCCTTATCAAAACTATGAAATCTGGTTTAAATGTAAATATATAAATCTCATATATTAATGTCATAATGAGGTCTATTTTTTTGGAATTGGCTAAAAATAACAAATAAAAATAGGGGAAAGGTGTATAAAATGATTCCCCGAGGTAAAACGATCCCTTTTATCACTTAACAGCTTGGTAGCGCCATCTATCTGAGTTGCTCGCTAACGTATTCCTCGCACCCCGCTCACTACTCCCTCCGGTTGTCATGGATTATTTGGAAAAAGTTAAAATTAGTGTGCTAAAATCTAAGGTAAGCATGATATCAATACAAAATTGTGAAATTTTCTGTGGTGTATTTGTGAATAAAAGTTTTACTAGCTGCCCATGGCCATATTCAATTACATTCTTAGCATCCTTTGATCTCGATAAGGTTACGCTTTGAGATCATATTTGATCAACCTTTGTAATATTGCATTTGGGGTCAACTGATCCCCTGCAGTCGGTATAAAATGATCCCAGGAATCATTTAACCCCACGCATTTTGTCAATTTGAAAAATAAAATGTTCTAAGTGTTTTTCTGCAAATAATGCCACGTCAATACCAAAGACATACTAATCGGCAGAACTGGAGTGAAGCAGTTCGAAATGGAATGCCATATAAAAAAGCTAGTAGAGAGTTTGGTGTTCCTTCAATGTCGCTAAAAAGAGGAGACAAGGGTAAAAATAAAATCGCGGTTGGCGCAGTTAAGGCTTTGGGCAGTAGAAAAACTATGTTTACACCTGAGCAAGAGAATGAGCTCATTGAGCACGTGGAAGACATGGAAACAAGAATGTATGGGCTAAGTAAAAACGACATTCTCGGTTTGGCTTACCAGTTGGCCGAGAAAAATAAAATAGCACACCTCAGTTGAAAAAGAAACAACTGGTGCGGACTGGTTGAAAGGGTTTCGACAACGGCATCCCCACATAGTTCTGCGTAGTCCAGAATCAACATCAGCTGCTCGTGCAATAGCTTTCAACAAACCAGTCGTTAACAAGTTTTTTTTCTATTTTAAAAGACACTCAGGAGGAAAAACATATTCCTCCACATAGAATTTTTAATCTTGACGATACCAGTCTATGCACTGTGCCAACTAAAAATACAAAAGTGTTCGCTAAAGTTGGACGCAAGCAAGTCGCGAGAGTGACTTCGGCAGAAAGAGACGACACAACGACTGCAGTCATTTGTTGTTCCGCTGCTGGTATATTTATACCGACTGTGTTTATATTCAAAAGACTGCGAATGAAGATCGAATTAATGGATGGAGCGCCTCCAGGGTCAGCTTATGCATGCAACTCAAGAAGTTGGATGAAACTGGAAGTATTTGATAAATGGTTTGATCACCCTTTAGTGCACATAAAACCATCAGCAGAGGATCCAGCAATTTTGATTTTAGATGGCCATCTCTCGCACACAAAAAATTTGAATGTGGTGCTGAAAGCAAGAGACAATCATGTCATCTGCGTGCCTCCTCACTGCACGCACAAGCTCCAACCACTGGATGTAAGTGTTATGTATCCTCTCAGCATCTATCACAACCAAGAATTGGAAAAGTGGATGAACATTCATCCGGGAAGAGTGGTCTCTGTTTACCAAATCACTAAAGTTTTTGCAGGGGCTTACTTCAAGGCAGCGATACCTTTAAACGCCATTAATGGGTTTAAGAAATGTGGGATTTATCCCTTAAATCAGGATGTTTTCGCCGATGTTGACTATGTGGCTGCTGAAGCGACCGAAATGGATACTGAGACCGATGACTCCTGCAATTCAATGTCTGTTCTGGCAAATGCACCGTCAGGAACAGAAATTGCTGAGTCAGGTGCTGTTCCCATCGTTCAAGATACTATGAATTCATATTCTGGGCCCTCGTCAGAAATCGATGACATCGATAATGCTGAGACATTACCTTCCAATGACAGAGAAACAGCTGTGTTATCTCCTGACATAGACACTTCTTCAGATTCACGATCTACATATTTTGGTAATTTTGCCCCACGCGCCATCTGTCCTTTGCCAAAGATAGAAGGAAAAAGGAATACAAATATAAAGAAAAGACAAATAGACAGATCAATTTTAACAAGAACTGTTTAGAGGAGGAAATGCAGAAAAAAAGAAAAAGAAGAGAAACAAAGGTCTCGTACCGTCATTTGGGGTTAAATTGATCAAAATAGTCAGATTATTCGCATAATTTTTGTTATGTCACAATTTTATTTGGCTATGATGATTGAATCTGTTACATATTATGAGCAAGAATCGCACAATAGGTGCACAGAACCCCAATGTTTGAAACTATGACCATAACGAATTCAAAAAGGGCTGATCAATCTCATACGTGTTTTGGGGCGAGATTGTTCACGTAGTATTAATCGCGTGCAAAATGAGCGTACCTACAGGCTCCTAAATGAACGATCTCAACTCTGGTTATTATATTTCTACTGGTTACAGAACTACAGCATTTTAATGTAGGTGGGGTGAGATTGTTCACTATGGGTGAGATTGATCAACTTTATTTTACTCTACATATTCCAATAAATAATTGCTGAAAACACCTATTTGGATAATAAACTACATTTATTTTTCCAGGTAACTCACAAAAAACTATTTTCACATATTGAATTAGGTGCTTACCCATATCTATAACTAATACAAGTAACTTAAATAAGTATCCTAACAGTTGAGGTAGAATATAAAAAAGAAAAACTACATTTCGAATATATCTATCATATTATCAAAACGATAGGTGATAAGGCCATCTGAATTTTCGATGACAGGATCCGGCAACACAGCTACTATGTCTGGAAAATCCACTATAAATTCGTCGCCATCTTGAGCTTTAAACTTATTTTTAGATCCATCTATAGACGTTAATCCCAACACCTCGAATTCTCGAACACTTTGATTCTCGGTCACATTTTGCACAACGGCAATATATCGATAAACTGTTTTTTTCTTGATCCACCACATACTTTAACTAGAAGAAATTTGCCAGGAAATATATCTCTTTGTCTTAGTTCAAAGTATTCGGTTTCCGGTTCGGCGATGGTATCTAATGAGTTTTCACTGGAGCTATCATTAGTATGAGGATCGTCGTTTGTTTCCGAGTCACTCGATTCTTCATTTGGAACAACACTTTTCCCAGAGTCTACAGACAGCTTTAGACGCCTCATATTCCTTCTTGATGGCCCTACCATGAATCGCTGCTGTTGCAGATATCCTACAATAACGTTGCCCAGCGCATCTTCAGTATTCGTAACAGTAGTTTGGCTTGGAATTTTTCGCAGAACCCGTTCAGCATCCAGAGGAGCTATACCAGTTGCACGAAATTAACTTATCAAGTCTTCCTTTATAGCATTGTTATGTTTTTGGTTCGTTTCTACAAGAGTAGAAGCTAATAGACTGGGAAAATCCTTTTTATCCAGAGTAGATTGATGAAGATAAGTGTTCTTCCATTTTGTTAGGGAAGACCTCCAAGCTATCTTAAAAGGACGATAAAATCCGACATCTAATGGCTGAGTGAGATTGGTCGAACACTTTGGGAGGCAAACGAAGGCGACATCGTTTTCTCTACACTGTCTTAAAACGCTTTCTGTGAAATGGGAAGACAGGTTGTCTCCAATTAACACTTTTCGACCAGGAAGAGATTTTGCATGAGGAAGGAAAGCTGATTCAAACCAATCTGTAAACGTTTGAGCGTCCATCCATCCATGTTGGGTCCGATTTTATCGCGAGCCGACACTGCAGCATCTATTGTTGCAGCAAGGCTCGCCCTTGGGACCGAGCTCAATCCACTGCTTCCACATTTTCTCAGCCTTATAAATAACGTATGGTGGAAGCAGCACACCAGAAGCCGACCCGCACATCATTATGGTAGTAGCAGTTTTGGTAAAGTTGCATATCCTTTCAGGGTACTTTGTGCCGCGCCGAAACAGCATTTTTTGTTTTCCGGGATCATCCTGCACATTTGTTTCATCATAGTTGAATATATTACAAGCTGGGATGTCCTTTAATGTTTCACTCAAATTTTCAAAATAATGGACTATATCTTCCCTTGAAACATTGGCCCGAGCTCTCATGATGTTCGATGCAACTTTTTGGCGAATATCTTTCTTATGTCGTTGTAAGAAAGAACGAGCCCAATCTGTTCCAGGCATGTTTGCTCTAAACTTTCCAATATTGCGACCCTGACTATCCAGATAGCTTTTAGCTATATAGCGCAAATCAGTAAGCGTAAGTGGGAATCCCCAATCTGAACAGATAGCTACTGCTTTTACGAAGGCAAGCTCTTCCGCATTTGAAAAAACTGTTTGACCTTCAGATTTTAGAGTTCTGATTCCCATATACTTATTCCGAAGGGTACCAAAAGGGATATTATGTGCAGCCGATCTTTTGGAGAGCAGCTTCTAGGATCTCTGAGGCATAATCCATGTAGCGGAGTGATCCAAGTCTTCTTTTATAATTCCTCGGCATGATTAGGATTCATCAACTGGAAGAAACAATAAAATTATAGCTGAATCCAATCATAATTTTATTAACAATACAAAAAATGTACTCATATTTTTAGATATGGTGTGATTGATCACTGAAAATTGATCAATCTCGCCCCGTCTATGCGAACAATCTGACCCCAACCATTAAATATCTCAATATTATGAAAAGCACGCCACTGTTCATTCCCGCTCGACTACACCATAACCTCAAAATATCAACAAACATGCATAGTATGACGCAAACAAAAATACACATCAGCATTCTAACTTACCTGGCAAATTTTCAGATAGTTATTCTATGAGCCAAAACCGACACCTTCAAAAACACTGACTTTTTACATGAAATAAGCGGCACCGCTAGCTTATACGCATACCGTATCTCCAGCCATGTTTCCTCTGACGAACACAATAGCTTTCGCTGTGAATGGTTCTCTAGTTCTGGCGCTAAATTCAAATCTATGAGAAAATGATCTGGTGATCAAACTCGCCCCTTGAGATCAATGTCACCCCAATCGACGGTATCGACAGAAATGTAAAAACAGTCACCGGGAAAGAAAATAAGGGAAAAGGAGTTGATAAAGGAAAAGGGGTGGGTAAAGGAAAAGGAGCTGATAAAGGAAAAGGAGTTGGTAAAGCTAAAATGGTCAATAAAAATCACGGCAAAGAAAAGACAAAAAAAAACAAAAAAATACTTTCGAGACGAATCTTCCGAAGGTGACGCAGATTGTATGTTTTGCACTGAACCATACTCAAAAGATGGTATGGGACAAGGCTGGGTCCTTTATACAGGGTGACTTCGAAGTTGAGTCATTTATTTTAACAGTGAGTAGATCTGATCAAAAGAAATGTTTTTTTCCTTTACCATTTTTCTGGTAAAATTAAAGTAACAAAGTTATAGCCCTTTGGAAGTTTGAATACCGCCCTGTCTCAATAATAATATCATGTGCTCGTGTTTGGCAACAACGGATATAATCCGCCTTATCCGTTCATCGCATCGGAAACAAAAAAGCGAAAGAATTTGAAACGATGTTTTTACTACAATGTACAATTTTATTCAGTTGTATTCAATCGATGTGTCAGTCGGTAACGCGTGAGTGAATAGTGGTGTTTGTTGGGTGGCTCAAACGAAATAAAAAATGGCACATGTTTACGAAAATGCTAAATGCAGTACAAAGGGCTCGTGAATCAGGTGACTTAAGACCTCACAGGGGAGGGCATGCCGGTGCTCCAAGACCGCACGATCAAATACAGGGCCGCACTGAAATACTTGTCGGGAGGATACTTTATAAAACAAGGTTTCTTTTTTATTTTTACACACATATTTTGGTTTATCTTCCTTCTACAATCATTATCTGAAAATTAATGACTCAACTTCAAAGTATACAATGTTCTAAATGCGGACATGAAGCATGCGCTGGCCTCGACAGTGGAGGTGAAGATGATTTTATATGTGATTTCAGCAGAAGTCGGTTTGAAATCTCCAAGAAACAGTTATACTTCTAGATATATTTTTTCAAGGATTTTGCTTATAACAAATGTTACCCTAAATATGAGAGTTTAAAGTTATTTTTTTTATTCTGATGTCAAAAGTAGATACTGATTGAATAAAATTGATTTAATAAATACTTTTTTAAATACTGCTTTCTACTTCACTTCCTGGGATCATTTTGCCCCAACCCAGGGGATCACTTTATACACCCTTTGCGAGGGCGTTGGAAAACATTAAATAAATTTGAACATATAAAATAGATCAAAAAAGATGGTACTTACTTACTTTAATATTTTAGTCACACGAATAAATCTCCCTTAGATTCATTTAGTTTGAAGACCACTAAACATCAAAGGATCAAAAGAAAGAGAAACGGTGTTGGTTTTGAAAGTGTTTAAAAAACATCACACGTAGTGGCAGTCTGAAGATATTCCCATTTGATCAAGTTACGTGAACTTTCCACTTTCGCTTAATGACACTTTAAAAATTCTACACCCTTCGCAAACAAAATTAATTACAATGAAAAAAGTCGAGAAGGGACTTTCTTCGTTGATCTTTGTTAAACATCGAAGTATTTCTAACTCTGTAGGACTTTCCGTTGAAAGTATGCAACTTCGGTACGTAGCGCCTTTTTTATAAAATAGCGCAACTCTCAGCCGCAGTGACAAGAAAATGTAAGCCGTGGTAATATTTTTCGAAGGGTTTATTTAGTCGATGTAAAGCAAAACGCATTTTTTCACCTACAGAACATCAAACTTTATATTATTAAAATACTATTTTCCCCTTTACTTTACTTTTCTGTTAAAATCAGTGGGCCTAACGTTGTTCGTACTATTCGGCATTATCTGTCACAGTGGTCTGTAAGATCCTTGCTCTTGGCAGTAGGATTCTCAGGTCTCATTACTACAAATATTTCTTGTAACTGTCTAAAGCAGTACTCACTGTGTCAAGGCAAGTCCTTGAGCGTGGCATCAGTGCTTCGGTATTTAGGTTTCCGCCAACATGGCGAGATCAGTATAAACAAGGGACGGATGAACTTCAACTTATCGATTCGATAAGCACATATTGTGATTCATTTTGTTATAAATAATCCTAACGACCAGTTCCGGAGCTACAATTTGTCATTTTTAAGATGAACAACGCCTGAATGATGATCCATAAATATGGATGTGACCGCTCTCCTTTCGAACCGAGCTTTCAGAGACTGTTTCTGTGTTAGCAAAACAAAAAACCCCTTTGTTTTTCGAGTTCCTTATTATTCTTCCATTGTTTTCGAATCGGAGATTCCTTATTCGAACCTTCAATCTGGGGTGATGTTGGGTTGCCAGGGAGGTTTTGAAATACCACAAGCTCTGACGACATATATAAATACATAAATTCGTGAATACGTACTGGTATTATGCAGGGTGTCACAAAATCGTTGATAGGATTTTTCTTTTTCGCTTTAGTCAACTGTCAATTGCATTGTAAAGTGAAATAAAAACACTAACCATTGCGGAGGGTAGATTAGCAGCAGAGGAAGAGCATCACGTTCCATTGACTGCGATAAAAACTTTTTTTTATTATTATCGTTCCTCCTCCACCTCTTTCATTTATTTATTGAAAGTTGGGAGTGATGATTGAAAAATGAAATCACACAAAGGCTTACCATTGTACTCAGCAGAGATAGGTATCTAGCACAGACACAGCTCCATCCTGCAAGAACCACATTTCTTACAGCCTGCAGGTAAGGTTTAACACTTTTGGAATCACGTAGACTCATCAAAATAATAATCAAATAGTGAGATGCATTATTTCGATAGATCTTATCTACTGGAATTGATCAACACGTTCTACCTGAAGACACTCAACCTAATACTACATTCATCACAATAAAAAAGGAAGGTCCCCAAAAAATCAAAATGAGTGTGCTGGGGGTCTCACTATATTTTTTCCATTCAAGTCAAAATTGCGGAAAGATGGACAAATATGAGAGTAATTTAGATATTAGAATTAATAAGAAGGTTTCCATGTTCTGCCAATAAAAACAGTTTGACTAGATTTTTTATAACGGCATAGAACAATATTTATTGAGCAATCATACATAAAAAACTGAGAAGATACATCCAGATTTCTACAAAAGGACCTGATATCGCTAACGCAGTTTTCATTTAGGCCCTGAACAACATTAATATAACTAACTGCACATAGAGAAGATATATGTCATTACAATGCC